TGCAGCAAAGGATGGAAGAGCACATTGAAACAATTATTGATAAATAGTTGCATCTCGAAGCTACACAGAGCCATTATTCCTCAAAGATGCAAACACAAAATTATTTTGCATTGTGTGAATTATTTTCCTATTTGAAACACAGAATATCTCTCAAATAGCTTTAAAACCCTCATTGTAGCAGAGCATCCAGTTTGTTCCATTAACTACTCACAGAGTCAACTGGAGAACCACTGTTATTAATTTCAATGGAAAGCTAAAATGCAGTTCATTTTCTGTAATTGCAGGCCCATCACCTAAAGACCCAGGAAAAGCTTTTAATCCGAGGCATTTTTAGAAGGGTATGATTACATCGAATATCTTCATAAGGTGCATAATTACCAGGGCGCCAATGACAAAGAAACACAAAGAGCCAAACTTCCCAGGCTGCTAGAGAGTGGGCCCTGCCCACCAACCTGGGGCCACCGGTGTGTGGGGTGCTGGGGTGGGCACCAGAAGTGGGGGACGTCTCCAAGAACCAGCCCTGATGCGTCCCAGTCTTCCCCCGGGTGGGGAGCAGAAAATCCAGCAGTTGTCCTGGTGCCACCATGAACCCCCAGCTCCAAGCAGCCTTTACAGCTCCCTGTCAGAGGATGATGCAGAGATAATCCTGGGAGCCAGGATGAAGCATTAGTGGGCTGGAAGATGCCTTGGAAAAAACAGCACTTGAGACAGTTGTAGAGAAGCAGGCAAAGGAATTTGAAGGGAAGAAGCAGTTGTAGGGAAGTTGTAGGGAAGTAGCAGTTGTAGGGAGCGCAGAGGGACAGTGGTGGAAATACGCAAAAGAGCTGGAAAAAAATGGTGGAATGTTTGGGAAGAAATATCTGAAGGTAAATGCTATTTAATTTAAGGATGAAAAAGGCTCTGTGAGGTACAAAATATTCAGCTGAATAAAATTTCACCCCAAGGTGAAAACCACAGATGCGTTGGTGTGGTTTCCACCCTGGGGTGAAAACGGGAAGAAACCTGCTGCCTCTGGAGAGCTGACCCAGGATCCCTGACCAGCTCCCCAGGATGGGATGAGGGCTGCAGTGGCATGGTGGCTCCTGGCCTGTCCTGACTGCCCTCTCAGCCATCACCCCGTGCCAAGCTGCCAGCCACATTCACACTGCAGCCAGAAGAGACTGCCTGGTTGGAATTTGAGGTCTTTGGTACCCTGACTCTGCTCAATCAAAACAAACCACACAGCACCTCCGGCACGTCTGGGGGAAGAGGCAACTCCAGCTGCAGGGGAGAAGAAAGGAAAACCCTCAGTTTTAAATTATTGCTTGGCTGTTTTGCCCAAGGCGGCACAGCCACAATCGTCTGCCACCATTCAAGGCGGCTGCAGCCCGGAGGTGTCCTGGCAGGACTCACAGCCACGGGCAGAGGTTCAGTTCGAGACCACTGACTCCAAGCACGGTCCTTTGTACTCACAGTGGTAACTCAGGTCTGTAGGAACACAGAGATACCAGAAAATCAACCCACTTAAATCAGGCGTTTGAAATGCATTAACATCCCTTTCCTTTGGCTCTTGGCTTCAGTCCTCTCTGGCTTTAAGCACTGCTGGATGCTGAGCACTGGCTGCAGCAGTGGAGGGGCAAGAGAGCTGAAGATGTTTCTTTCCAGGGGTTTCACCATTAAAGAGGAGCCACCTCTTGCTGCATCCTACAAGGGACACTTTATCTGATTGCAAAAAGAGTTAAGTGTACTTAGCACCTTGGTAGATGAGGGCTAAGGTGGGTAATAGCCACGACAGAAGTAGCTGCTTGGGAAGCAATTTAATTAATAAAAATGTAAGAAACAAAAAGGTCAAGTCTTGCCTCTGCTGTGCTGCATTTAATCTGCACATGTACACAGGACTTCAGCCTCGCGGGTGTTGCCTTTTTTTCCAGCTGGCACATTTCCCCAGACACGATAACATTTTTTAACTTTAGTGGATGACATTTTGTAATATGTTTAAGGATGTGTAATATTTTATGCTTACAGCTTTTTGCTATTGTTGTTCCAATATGGCACTGATGCTGGTATTAAAGTTTAATATGATTAGAAAGCTCAATTGTATAACCAAGGGGTTATACTCTTTATCTATTCTAATCTGATTAAAAGGCTTCTCTTCTGTAGATTTCCACAATCACTTTATATCAAAACCTGGGGGCAAAAGCAACCAGCATTTTGGTTTGTCCCAGATCAAACAAAATACCAAATGGATTCCTTAATTGTGTACTTAATTCCTTACCATACAAAGCTGTGTCCAAACTGCAAACCCAGCTTGTTTGACTTTAGTGGAGCTGCTCACTGAGAAAGGGCTGTGGAACCAGATGCCCAGGCTTGCCCTAAGGCTGCTTAAGGCTCAATAGCTGCCTGTTCATGGGCAGAAAAAAAGGCATTTTGGGTGTCGCTGCCTGGTGGTTTTGCATCACCATATACTATGCTTTGGGGTTGCCAGAGAGTTGGCAGAATAACCCCCTATACAGCAGAGGTTACTCTGTGTGCTATGGATCCATAGCATTAGCAAGCATAGCTCCAAGACCCGAGTTAAGAGAGTGCTCCTGATGTGTTTGGAGCAACCCCTGCACCTGATTCTTAAAAGTGCGTGGGGGGATTGTTCTGACACCTCCCTCTAAGACCCCCCAAAACTGAGTCACCACTGGGACCACCAGCTCCCATGGAGGTGAAGAAGCTGGTGTTTGCCACCATGGCAGCTGCTGGGGGATGTAAAGTGGCCCCAGGGCTATTCCCTCTTCTCTCTAAACCTGAGCCATGGTCTCTACACCTGGTTGCTGTGGCTAAGCCAGGGTAAGAAAGGTCTGGGGGGGAAGTCAAGGTTACTATTTGTGAAGGACGGCAAAGAGGGGCAGCCCCTCCTAGATGTGGTATTTGCCCTTGAGAGTCACAGAGCAGGCTCTGCCTTTCTATTTCATGCCCAATTCCTCCCCAGCCTGTCATGGGAGCATTTGGCCCTCACCCCTCCTTGTGCAAACAAACTTGGCTTCCCCACTGAGGAGCATGCTGTTTGTTTGGCTGTGCTTGCAACCCACAGACTCCCCCAGCCAGCCCTTACCAGCATAGCTCAACAACAAAAACAAAAACAACGCCCAAGCCCAAACACATTCCTTCTCCTTCTAACCAGCTTCAGGCCCAGTGGATGCCACAGCTGATGCTGAGCAGGCTGCCTGTAACCAGACTCTTGAGCCAATTTGGTTTCTGAGCTTTCTGTGTGAATCTACAGAAGGGATTTCATCACCACTGTATCAGCTGCAATGCATCATTGACATGGGTGTTGCATCCATACTATTCTGCTGATATTCAGGAGACTCATCCACGTGTGGTATGGCAACAAACAGAAGGACAACATCAACATTTAGTTAAGAGTAAGCTTTCTTATCCACGTTATTTGAATTGTCCCAGAAGTATAAAGTCTAAAACCTTCTCATCCTCTGAGCAACAAGTAATTCAAGAATTGTTCTTCACTACTGAGACATTACTTCAGGTGTGACAAGGTCTGTCCTTTCTCTATGTGTCTACAAAGAATCACTTTTTAAATAAGTAAGCTCACCTAGAAGTTGTCTGAGACAACTGGGATGAGGATGTTCAGTGACCTTCCTCAGCATTACACCACCTTTTTTCTTGGACCGTGTGGCATGTACTGGCTTAACTCAGTGTATGCCACCACTGCTGTCCTGCCTGGCATACACATACTTTTGAGTCATCAGGATCTCCTACCTTAGTTTGTTTATAAATGTTTATGATCCATCAAAATTGCCTTAGAAGTAAATGGTCAAGTTTCTTTAAAAAAAGGAACTTGCCTTGTATCTGATGTTGTATGGGTCACATTCTGAGAACCAGGCTTAGATTTTCATCATACCCACCCCACATCTATTACAGAATTTGGAAATATATTCTTAATATATATTTTTAATTGTTCTGTGACGTTGATTTTCCCCTGAGTTGTTCATGACTATAAAGAGAAAGTTCAGCGTGGCAAAAGAGCTTTCTAGATTTCACTTTATTGGCATGCTATGACGCAGAATAAACTCTAACATTCCTAACTGGAGATCCCTAGGGTTGTTTGGAAAAGGTGTTCCTCCCATGAAGCTCCAGCACACAGATGACCAAGCCCACTACTTCACACAAAGCTCTGTGCACCTCCCCCTGCAGCAAGGAACTCTTTCATCTGCCTGTAAACTAAAACTCTGATGGTCTGGCTCCTACCTTACAAGAACTCATAGCCTGCTGGCAGATGTGTACAAAGGCCTTTCTGTACACAGGCATGGTTCTCTTTTAAAGGAACTTAACTATTCATAACTACTGCGAGGAGCAGCAATACAGTCTGGGCAACTTTACTGCAAATCACTGAGAAATTGCTTTTAGACTCATTCTAGCATTGCAGACATCTAAGGATAGATCATCCTTGCCTTCAGGAGATGGAGATGGGAACTGATAACCAGGAGGCTCGAGTTTCAGCTGTAAAATGATGTTTCCAGCAAGACTGTCTCCTTGCATCAAGCCTCTGCTGTGAAAACATCCTCCAGCTGATCAGTACCAGCTGGCATGGAGGGGGAAAGAGGAAACTCTACTTGTGGCAAAGTACCATAAAGCACAGATCTTACCTCCACTTTAGAAACATCTCTCAGGGCTGGGACTAATGGTTAAACAGCTGGTATGTCACCCTGGCAGGATGAGCATACCCTCAGACTCTTATGGTACATTCACTAGCTGTAATTTATGATAAATCAGAAGAGGAAATAAAAATTATCATCAAACAGAATCTGCACCAAGCTCCCCGTATCTTCTGCAAAGAGTAAGACGATACTTTTGAGTTATTACAATGTGTAGAATGAACTTTTATTTTCATTCATCCTTCATTAATACCATACAATTAGATAGCAATATTTGGAAAAAAAAATCTTGAAATAATTTAAAACAGAAGGCACAGAAAACCAAACCCAACTATGCTGCTACAAGAGAAAGGGGGAAAAATGACTGAGGAAGCGAATTTATTCCAAAAAGTTTTATCGCTTAGATATTCTCATCAAAAGCTACAGCACACAGAAACAAAACTGCACAGTTTAAGCTAACCCATGCTTTTGTTACATTTAACATATAAAAGGAAAAAAATCTAAAAATATTTTTTGCAGGATTTTGAATGAAAAGTGTAAATTTTAAAATAAAAAACACTAAATCTAGTACATATGTCAAAAACTTGCCTAAAGCCTACACACTAATATGTACTTCACAAAAAAGTCTGCATTAAGGGAAAAGCATACAATTAAACACCATCTGGGGATAGGAGAAAACTGGTTCTTAAATCAGTTAGAGTATCAAATAAATTTGGTGTTTGCTTCAGAAACAAGGATTCTCACTACAGTAATATACTGGAGAGGACATTCTTTTGTATTGTAATATTATGAAATTTAACCAATAGTATACATTACAGAGAGGAAGAGAACCATCCATATGAGATTTTTAACCTTTTTTTTCTTTTTTTTTTTTTCTTTGCAAAAGAGTAATTTTATTTTGAAAGCAAAGCTACTGGAATTAATGACATGCGATAATATGTCCCGATATTGTACCAGCTAAGTTTGAAAATAAAGTACATGCTTCACAATTGAAATATGCTGTGACACTCAAATACATTCTCTGGTAATTAATAATACAATACAGAGGTCATTCATAAAATCAGTTCAGGTGGGGAACCTGGTTTATAAATGAAGCTCTTTTCAAATATTGAGAACACTGACAACACACAGGGTTAGCTCCAGGTCAGCACATTTCTTTCTGTGCTCCACCCCTCTTTTCTTAAACAAGTGGGTGCTTAGCCTGCAAATACCATGGAAAGGCAAAGTCTAGAAGTTACAGGTTGGTTTGCAAAAATATTAAATACAATCCAAGACAAACAGTATTACTGACAACTTAATAGCAGGTGCTCTCTAAAGGAAAAAAAAATATCCTGAAATGCAAAAGAGATCTTTTCAGCATTTGATATCAAGGCATTTGCATGTTTGTCAGGAGGTGACAGTAAGAGTGAACTTTGCAGCTTACTTTGCAGTTGGACTTGAAATCAAAGAGCTTTCCTTCTAGCCTGCTCACCTGTAAACCATAACATATGGTTTCTTAATAGCTTGCTTTTTTCCCTGGAAATAATTTTCTCATTTAGAAAGTACAAGTCAAAGTATTGTTTCCACACTTGAATAAAGAGAGCTGACAACTACAATAGAAACGGTAAAAATGATCCTCATAAAAATGTTCATCAAAATTCTCTGACATAGCAAAACATTCATTTGTAAAGTAAAGTCTAATACTGCAAGCCATTCACTCAAAGGCGACCTTGGGCACACGAATCCTTGCCAGCATTGCAACGGGAATTAATTCCGTATTACTTGTCATTATAGGGTACAAACTCTGTAATATATTAAAGTTTCCTAACAAAGAGTCCAATTATTGCACTTTATAAAAATTCTAGTAATATCAGGCTTTTGTCCTACTTTTCTATGAACACTGATGCCCTGCAAAAAAAATTTGGGGGACCAAGTAACTTCTGATGAGCAAGACTGAATACTTGAATCAGTCCGAAATATGGAATCAAAAATGGAAAGGTTTACGAAATGAAGAGATGTAACCTTTGGAAACAGGTTTTGGTTCATAGCAGCTGACAGATGTGCCATTCTGGTACTGACACACGTTCTCTTTGCTGGGAAAGTGGGCACATGAATGTTACATTTATGTACCACAATACAACTTGAGGACTTTGCAGAGAAACCCAAAGAACCACTAAGTTCTTCTGCTGACCCTAAAAGCCTGATGTGAAAAGCTCAATGACAGCCATATTTGAGTGGGAGTTTCTCTGTGAGCTTGAATACATTTGCATTTGTGTCAGCAACAGACACAGCAAACAAAAATAGCTATTTCAGGATGGCAAAACAGGTAGAGTAGTCTGAGAGGCCTCTAAAAAAGGAAAATACAGCAGTTTTGGCCCTGCTTTTAACCAGCTGTATCAAGAGGGAAAAAAAAGAGAGGAGATTTTTGTGCCAGCTATCTAGAAAAAGACACTCCTTGAACCGAAGTGATTCACAACTCTATATGAGGCTTCCAGGCCAGCAAATCACGGTTAAAGTCACTTTGTTCCTCTGCTCCTTCAGCATGGGAACGAGTGCAGAATGGCTCATTCCAACCGTGGATAGTCCGTTTACAGCAACAATCATATCACCACACCTAAGAAACACAAGAAGAAAAGAGAACACATTATGAGTCCTGCTCTGCAGTAATTAACACACCAACACACAGCACTTCACTGCTGGGGTGGTAGATTTGCATCAGGGTGGAAAGTGTCACTAAAATTCCCAAAGCAGTTCAATTTGAAGTCTGTCCTATTACTGAAAGATGCCCCTGCTCATTGTAAGAGTGTTGGACTAGATAACTTTGCAAAGGTCCCTTCCAACTATTCTAGGATTAATCCAAAACTCATTCAGGAAATTCCCAAATCACTCTATTTCAATTCTAATAGTTCAGGATAGTTCTGCATTAAGAGCTGACCTGTACAGAAACATGAAAAAAGACATTTGGAAAGACCTATATGGAGTCAAGAGAAGATAAGATAGCATGTGCATGACAGAAGCACTTCTGTTTGTTTGTGTGGATTATAACACATTTACACCAAACATGCCTTCACTGTAGGAGGTGTAAGTAAAGATACTTATGGTTACCAACCAACCACATTCCAACTAAGAACTTTGTTTTCAGTGGCTTATGATTTTGTCAAATATAACCATTTGGCTTGAAATCTCCCTCAGCAGATGGTTCAATTGCAGCATCTCTGCATTTTGAAATGGGTAACAGAAATTTGTGAGGGTGCCATTTGCTGGCCCAGAAAAAATTCACCTTGAAGGGTTAAGTTCTGGTTTTTTAAACCTCAAGAGACTTCAAACATGCACCTAATTTCTTTCTCTGTTGAGCATCCTCCTCTAGACACCTCTATTTTGCAACTTAAGTGTGTGACGTTCCCCAGAGTAGTCAAATGTGACTTGGAGATCAAACAGGACTTTTCTTGAAACTGATCCATTCAAGTATTGAAGGCACCAAAATGGGTGGCAAAAAGATGCTCTCCTGAGCTTTCTCATGTCTTTTCTCTGAGCAGAGGAAGAGGAAGCAGAGTTACCAACACCATTCAAATGTGCACTCAAAAGTCCTTCTCTGCCTGAACCAAGGAACCCCATCACCCAAACCAAACCAGTTCACTGAATGACATCTCACTCCCACAGCCTTTCCAAGGAAGTCATTTTGCCTTCTATAAAATCACTCCAGACAGATCATGTAAGCAGAAAACTGTTCTAAACTATTCAACTGTGAAGTTAGTTACTCCCTTTCTCTCCAGCCTAACATTTAGGTAATTTAAACAGAACAGAACAGCTTTAGAAGAGACCTACTCCACAGTAACTCAAGGTGCAGGTTCTAAGGGGCTCTCTCTTGTTGGGGCCCATTTTTAAGTCCATATTTTCAGTTGAACAGTACATTTGAAAAGAGAGTACTATATCACATTATCACACAAGAGCATATTTTCCATAGATTACAAGAGGGTAAATGTGACCATGATGATTCTTCCACTCATCTTAGGAATGATGCTTGAATTTCCATTTGTGTGAATACTTCTAGTTATTAAGTCCCCAATCTGAAATTATTTGAGTTGAATTGAGATCTTTAATTTAATCCAAACTGTTCCACAGTTGGAAAAAAAGGTAATTTTGTGTTCAGCCAAGTTATTTTTTCATTTATTTAGTCACTGAACTGAAAAATCAATTACTGTCAAGGCTTTAGGCGTAAGTACATTCTTTTCTTAAGTCACTTTGTAAGAAAATCTGCACATAAAAATCATGCCACAAAACTTCAAGTTGCATATTCTTGACTGCTACCTTCACAAAAAATCAATTTTATGAACAAGAGAATTCTTAATGGGAATTTTAAGTCCTAGTTCTGAACTAATCCTACACAAGGCTAAGATGTGTATCTGGATACCAAACAAGGGGGCTTCATCCAAATGTAATGTGTAAGTAAAATCATATTATCTTTAAGGTCAAAAGGGACCTCAGGAGGTCTATAGCCCAACCTTTACTGCAAGCAAGCTCAGTTGTAAGCTCAGACCAGGACTCTCAGGGCTTTACCCAGTAGTCTCAGAAACCTCCAAGGGCAGAGACCATGCAACTTATGCCATTGCCTGACCATCCTCATGGGGAAAGAGTTTCTTCTCATAACCAGTCTCAAGCTCTTTTGTCCAATTTGTGCCTGTTGTCACTCATCCTCTCACCCTGCACCACTGAAACGCCTGGGCTCTGTCTCCTCAATAATCTCCAGGTAAGAACTGGAAGGGGCTGCTGGTTGCCCTGAAGCTCTCTCATTGTGGGGCAAGTGCTCCAGCTCCATCATCTCAGGGGCTTCTGCTGAACTTGCTGCATTTGTCAGTGACTTTCCTGCCAACTAATGACAGAGTAATGCCATGGGGACTTGGTCCCTTATCAGTCTTTTCTATCATCTACTTTCTTGCCCTTCTATTAAAGCAGCAGCACTCATCTTCAGTATCAGTTTCCAGCAGTAGCTTTAGAAGGCTATGTGAAAGCATAAAGCAGTTTTGCCTGCTTTGCAGACATTCTAGCTTTTAGCTGTTCTATAGGAAGACAAAAACTAGCTAGTTCTGCACATATACAGTGCACATTGTCTCCTGGCCTAAAGCGGAATTCAACAGGGAGACAGCAGGTGACATCAGCAGCGCAGCTGGGGAAGAGAACAGGAGATGCCATCACCTCTGAGATGTCCCTTCCCCAGCACAAACACCCTGTTACTTCCCTGCATCCCACTCATCAGGGAGGGACAGCACTACAGGGCGGCATGATCCAGCAGCAAAAGATGCTACAGTTTATTTCCTTAAGCAATTAGTTGCACATAACTATTTAAAAGTGGTCCATTATTGTTGCTGTTATTACTATTATTTTTCCCATTGTTACTCTGGCTTACTTTAATCTTCCATCAAAGTAGGCAGGGGTTCCAAGAACAATAGTTTTAATGAAGAAAGGCTGGTTTGTGTGGTTCTCCTCGTAGCCACCGACAATGCTGAAGCCCCAGCTCCCTAAATTGCTCCGCCGCAGCACCACGTCATGGCAGCTATGCAGGCAGCTGTGGAATGGAAGCACAGGGTAACAAGAGAAAAAGCCATGCGTGGTTTTACAGTAGGCACAACATCTGCTATCTCATCGTTATCACAGCACTAAGTGTGGAAGAGAATGGGAGGAATGGTGATTAGACCTCTGTTCCCAGAGTAATTTTGTAATATTCAAACCAATTACCAAAAAACCCCCACAATCTTGAGACAGAAAAGCGTGTTAAAAGAAGTAAAGCAGTGCTAGAATAATTACTTAAACACAGTTAACTCTGCAAACTGACAGCAAGAGAACTGCATTTTAGGGATTTCACAGGTGGCAACAATGTGGGTGGAAAATCAATACCTGATGTGTTCAGTTTGCAAGTCAAAAATGCAGAGCGTTTGTCTTCCACCCCCAGCCAGTTTAAGCTTTTTCTGCTTTAAGTAAAAATTAAAAACCCATGCACAATCTTCATTCCCCTGTACTTATTCATCACCAGCAATGAAAATATGACTAACCATTTTATTACACAGAATGTAAATAATTCAGATCACTAACTGTACTGCTGTATGTTATCAGCCCTAGTGAAAATTAAGTCTTGCCAGTGAAGTTGGCAATGATTAATTTAAAAAACAAACAGACATAGGAATTAGCTTTTCAGCAAAAAGATACCAAGTTCTTTACTGTTATTTGACACTGCTTTAAAGCACAATGCATAGCATAATATTAGGGGCCATACATGGGCATCTGTAGCATGAAAGCAATAAACCACTAGGTAAGAAATAAACTGCTGCTAAAGCATGAAGAGGAAGTATATTTACCAAAACTGAGAGCCATTTATTGAGATAACTCATTAATAGTTCAATAGAAGATACATTAATTGACAGTTAAACTCAGACAAAGTGAAATCTCAGGAGGGCCAATGCATGGTTGTGTTATCTTCAGCTGTATTCTGCTTCAAGCCTGTCTGGTTCGTGGTGTGGTTTTACACTTTTACATACAGACCTGGTAAATGCATCAGAGGGAAAGGAATTAACCTGCATGCCCTGACTGAAGTTAACAACTCTACTAGCTGCAGTAGGAGCTCTTCTTGACAACATGTGATGCCAGAATGAGATTACAGCTGCAGCCTCAAGAGAGTGAGGAGTACAAATGAAGTGATGTCCAGCAGATTGCAGAGTAGTTAAGGAGAGGGAGCTCGCTGCAGACTTCTAAGAGTTTTTGTGTATGGCAGAGATGGTAGTGGATTATTGAAAAAAAAAAACAACAACGTGAGCTTATAGTTACATGGCTACAGTCTTGGCACTGGACATGTCAAGAGTCTGTCAGAATGGCCAAAATCTGATGCAATATTCTGAAGTTAAGTATTTGGCCTCATAAACTCAGGTAGCAGATTTGCAAAGAGACAGATGGATATATACTTTGTGGTTTTATTAGTAATTGCCCTGGTTTTAGATATCCTGTAGAAAGTTACATTACAATAAAACACTAAAAAAGATGAATTGTGTCTGAACAGAAGATTCCACATGAGTAGTTACTATGGTTTGTGAAGGGATAAATCCACTCTATTCATCTTTAAGTTTCCTAAGGGAACACTGTTCCTGTTCACAGCCCAGTTTCTAAGCACACTGCCAACTGAATACAGCCGAGATGGGCAGGCAGAAATAAGGACAGATGTGCTGCAACTAAGCAGGTCTCTGCTTCTTTATGTCTCTTGCAAGACTTAGCTTAAAACACCTAAGAAAGTATTTAATCAATTAATTCCATACCTTGGAAGTCCCAGCCACATGACCCACGAAGGTGACCAGCTGGCATCGTATTCATTTTCACTGATGGTACTCAATTGTTCTTCATTAGCCTGGGGCTGTTCTTCTACAATCTGGACTTCCAGGGCTTTCAGGGCAACTACTGAAGAGGCAGCACTAGCCTTCAGCATGGCCACAGCCTCACTGTGGCTCAGGTTGGTCAGATCAATGCCGTTGATGTTGAGCAGTACATCACCTGTTCAAAGCCACGAGGGAGAGCACATGGGTCTCACAGTCCTGCCCACCCACAGCACCTCCTACGCCAGGGCTCCATTCCATACTGGAGTCTTTGGACCTGAGACAGTCTGAACTAACAGACTAATAGCTCTGAAGCCTTTATATTGTCAGTTTGAAACTTTCATCTGTTGAACTTGTATCAAGTTGGATCAGTATAATTTATTTCCACATAACACATACTGTGACTCCTATGTATACTGCCCTGAAAATCTGAAATAGAAATTACTTAAGTACCTCACCAGCTCATCTGCAACTGCTACTGCAGATGCCATGACACAACTGTTTCCAGGTGTGCATCTTGGGTTCACCCTAACTTTAAAAATGGAGAAAGAATGATGGCAGGAACAATGCAGGCAACTCAAAGTTACCAATTATTGTAGACAGGTGAGGTTCCAGAGAGTGCTTTAATTAATCTGGTTTTAATAACTTGCTACTTAGGAGAAGAAAATGGAATTCAAAAACTACTGGAAACAAAACAAAGTTTGTACAAAGTTGGTACAAGACTCAATTAATTCAAAGACAGAAACAGAGCATCCCTACAAAGATAATCTGGAAAGAGTCAAAGCCAGAAAAAGATTTCCACAATTTTAGTTTTACTTTTTTTAAAAGCACCAGGATGAAAACAACGTTATTAACCATCCAGTGGCAGACTCCTTTTCACATAATGTCTCCCCAATGAAAGCCAGAAAAACCGGAGCAAAAGTGCAAACACCTGGGTCACACTCGGTTTTTAAAAGGCTTTTCCTCCCAGTAGTATCTGTGGCTACTTTAATGTTACACAATGAAAGAACAATAGTGCTTCTTCTATCAAGTGTGTTTTTCATAGTAGTACAGAAAAAGAAAGCATACCTGCTGGTGTGTAGGTGTAAATCTCCCTTTTTCAGAAGCATAGAAGGATGCTCCCACACTGTTCTTTTAAATGTACAATCTGTGAAGTTTTTTTCCTAAATTTCTTTCCTGAAACATTCTGTAATTGTGTGAAGTGTGAATCGCAGAGATCCCATAGGCAGTCTCTGATTCACATATGACATAATATGTTTTAATCATCAAATCCTTTGCTATCAATTACACAAGATTGCCTTCACCTATGATGACTAACCTCCATCTCCTAATTCTCCTCTTTTCAAAGCCAAGGAACAAGAAAAGGTGTTGCAGCACCCCTGAAGACCAGCAAACTCATGCTGCCCCAGAGGACAAGAAAGCTTTTGGGAACCAGGATTAACACTGATTACAGGATTAACAGCTTTTGGGGCAAATTTTGTGTGGGTGAACTGTGGCCATCAGAGCTTCTCTGCCATTCAGATATTATAGTGGGGAGCAGAGATTTCTTGGACAGAGATTTGGTACAACCCACTAAATTAAACACAAAAACAGGATGTGTCTGCATCAGAGCAGACCCTCAGCTCAGGGGATTATCATCAGCTCTAAAGAATTTAACCATACATTTCCTGATCTTATCCACTTCCCCTGCTATCATGCTGTAAACATCCCCTTCCCATAGAAGGTGAAAGTGCAACACTAAATACTGTATTTCCATTATCGAATCATGAAGAAAAGCATCCATAACCACTTTCCTACATCTGGGAGAAGACTTTGGGACACCACTTGACTCCAGAGAACACAGTGATCAAAAAGTAACCAGAGGTAGCCAAGCCACCAGGGAAGCCAAACCCCACCTCGTTTAATCCTGCCGTCTCTTGCCAAACACCCGTGAGGCTGCACACTTGTCACAAAGATGGGCAGTTCGCCACTTTTGCTGCCTCTGCCTCCTGCCACTGTCATTCCCAGAGATTCATGTGGCTCTTTTTTCACAGTAATGTGCTTTTCTTGGCATGTAACACACTGGGAGAGATCCTGTTTAATAAGGATAAATAACATTGTTAAAATTAAGGAAAAAACCAAGCAAACCAAAACCAAAAACCAGAACAAAAGAACTAAATACACCCTAAAGCCACGTTTTGGCACTTTAATAGAACAGTTTAAAAGGACTATATAGTGGAAACCAGCTTTGGCTGGATTTCTTCTAGGTCAGATCCCTGCCCCCTCCAAAAAAAACCCCAAATCACCAACAAAAACCCCATGGATGTAGATACTTAAACACAGATAGAAAGCTTATAAAAGGCCTGTTTTGAAATCTCACCTTAGTTTTTTTTTAACATCCTACACTGGAAGAGGCTAAATTTTAGGACTGCACTAAAAACCATATGGCCAAAATGTCTGGACACAAACCATTTTTGTCAAGATACAAATCTTTTGATGTCTTGGTGAACGTCAGCATTACTTCATTTGTCAGTAGAATTTGCCCCAGAACTACAAAGAAGCTCCTAAGAAATGAAAACATGTGTTTTCATGATGACAGTAAGAGACCCTTTAAAGCCCTTATGCATCCTTTTCTCTTTTGCAGCTGTTATGTAGAACCTCCCAGAGCACAAACCAAGGCCAATTGATGCTAATGGCTTGTAATGAGTACCTTGGGCATCCTCCCTAATGATTATAATGAAGACTCAAGCTTGAAACAAGAAGACATCCTATATAAAATTTTCCAACAACTGAATGAAGTTCAGCCTGTACTTAGTTCTGCCCAATACAGAAAACATCTAAATCTAAAGCAAAGTAAATTTTATTTGCCAAAGCCTTTTCCTCAGGCTATTAAGTAAAAGATTCAAACCACTGCACATACACCTGCGGTAGCATCTTAAATTGACAGAATACTTGCAAGGAATCAAAAATAATGAAAGAAATAACCTGGGATATTCTTCAAAGTGTGTATATGCATATATTCTCCTGCCTTCTCTTAAAAAATAACGTCTTCTTTGACCTCCAATGCCATGTTGCTCTTTCTGACTGGCTCTGCTCCTCACATAGACATTGATCATGGAAGTAGCTATATGTAAACACACTGTGGCTTATACAGACAGTTCAATTCTAAGGCTTCAGGCCTGGCTGTTGCTACACAATCATATAAACATATTTTAAGCCACAAGGCTTCAAAGCCAACTACAGGTTAATGAGAGAAAGATAAATGATATAAAACATGAGAAACGTCCACTTGTTGTTACACGGGACTTCCAACTTTAAAAGAGCCCACAGATAACACTGATCTGTGAGGGAAATCCACTCATCCAACTTTGGATCAACTGTGGTAAGAGCACAGCTCATGCTGGCACATGCAAACTTGCTTCAAGCTCTGACATCATCAAGTTAATTACTGTGTTTGTATGGTCCAGGGCTGTGGCCTGTACCCACAGCCATGGTATTTAGGAGCCTCACCTTTGTCCCTCAGGAGGAAAACAACTTTCCTAGAGCCTCATTTGTTCTTTTCTGAAATGATTCCCACTTTTAATGCGTGTAAGTTTTCCCAACAGAAGTATATGACTCTAAATAGTAAAGCAAATAGAGCGGACAGGTGGAAAGGTGGATTTGTTGACATGGTCAACATAACAATTATTTCATAAAGTCAACTTCTTAAGAGTGACAAGTTGTATTTTTGCATACTTTGATACTAGCATATTTTGCACATTTTGATAGTAGCTTCACAAAAGCCTCTTCATTTTGCCTTTCTTTCCCTGCTTGAGACCCTGCAGTACTCAGCAGCCTTGCAGCCAGGGCTGTTGACTCATGAAGGAGTTGACACATCCCTCCAACATGCTCTTTATATGCTGGATGATGGGCACCACACCTCTTTCCTGGTTGCAGCCAGCACAGCAGCAACAAAAACTGTAACAGTCTTGAATGACAGCCCTTCCATGCAGGAGTACCACCCGCTGTCTTAGACAAGGTCTAACAACTACAGCTGTATGAGCTCAACAGAACTTGCTTCTTTCACTGTAGTCAGCAAATCCAAAAACATACAGAAAACCTGTTGTGTATCTTTTGTTCCTACTCCAGACATGATGCAGGACTTGAGTACTTAGAAGTCATCACCACTTCTATATTAATAAGTTTTAAAAAAAATATATAATCCTTTCTTCTAGCTTTACCTTGCTACACACACCACCACATGAGCAAACCAGTATTTTTTCCCTTTTCAGAAGGAGAAGCACCAACCTTATGTGAGTTAGGTCTGCTGTGAAACAGCTGCTGGGACTGGTGTTGGTGTGAGTTGCTGTTGTGAGTCCCGGTGTCACGGATAATGCTGACTGTCTGTGACTTCAGGGGTCTAGAGATGATCAAGTTCACTCTCTCCCCACTCGCCTGTTTAATACATTAGGTCATCAAACGTCATCAAGTTTGATAGGATATTGATTATTAGAAAGGGAGGAAAACATATGACAGAATGTGAAACAAGACAACCAAAGACCTTGTTTTCCAGTTCCTTTTTAGAGTGCACACTCCCTTACTTGCTTCTTTTTGCAATTCCCCCAAGAATGGAGGGGAAATTAACACCAGAGCTGAAGGAGGAATGTTACTTTTACATCAGCTAAAAGTCCTTTGTCAAAAGGACCATTTCTCACTTTGTGTTACAAAGCTTCAAACACTAAAATTCACCCCTTTCCATTTACAGCCTCTATGAACTCCAGCAACACGTAGCAATAAATGGAAGAAATGCCTATGTGATAGCTCCAAGATCTGCAGCTTTTGATCAAAAGCTCTGAACACCTCTGGTACTTCCCAAAGGTACTTGTAAGAAAGATGTTACATACCAGCATACCATCATATTCTGGATTTTGGGGAATACTGGGAGACCCAATTATCAGATGTTAACAGAACATCAACTCTTTTTATTGCTGCAAAGCCACACCTCAAAAGGTAAGTTACCCAATGCTAAATTCCAATCACTGTATACAAATATTGGGAAACGGAACTTAAAATTCCCAAGATCGTTGTTATTTCTTTTCAATGCAAGGAAAACTCTTGAAATGATCCCTGAAAGAAGTATTTACTACTCATTTGTATCAGAGTTCTCTATGGGGTGCTTTAAGCAAAGATGACTGTAGGAACATACCACTGGTATATTCCAACTTTCCTAAAAACAGAGCCATTTTCACCAACATCCCATCAGCAGGAAGTAGCAAAGTGCTACATCTGTTTCCTTACAGACTGGGAGAAAGGCATGGAGTACAGGTTTTCCTGTAGGGACACAAAAGGGTCACATGTCACACTGCAACAAGCTTTGGGTAATATTTGTGTCCAGACTATAGCCAGACATTGGAAATAGCCCTGTTTTGAACATTCAGAAAATGAGTTGTACCAGGCACAACTCGTGGAAAACCTCTATTTGACTTCCCAGCTGCTACCTGTTGACTCTAACATCTGACAAATTACCTTCTTGTTTTAACTCAATTCCATGCACAGGCAAATCAATAAAAAACAAAGTCCACTTCTATAGAGCTTACTGAGAGATTAGAATACAATACATACATAAATAGAATAATAATAACTCTCTTTTTGTCTTCTTCTCTGCTAAACAATAGGGTACTCTCCTGGCTCACATGAGCTGTTTTCTAACCTTCAGGCTGCATTCCAGGGAAGACTAATACATTTTTCACTTCTGAGGAGGTAAAGTTCATCTGGTAGGTACCAAAACAGATCCAATTCTTCACTATTATTTTCAGAACATAAATCACTGTAAATTACATTGACACAGGGGTTTTAGGGCTCACACAAGCTGTTCTGTCTGGGAGCAGACTCTAGAAATAAAGCCGAGCTAAGGGCTCAGGTAGGGAAAGCCAATCACCTGTATAACTTGAGCAGCAAGCTCGGGCGTGCCGTGCTTCAAGTCGTGCCCATTAATGGCCAGCACGCGGTCGTTACTGCAGAGCCGGCCGTCCTGAGCAGCCAGCCCCCCTTCCAAGAGGTCGAGGATGAAAACCCCGGGCTCGTCTGTTCTGCGCACCAGTTTGATGCCGAGCTGCTCGCTGGAGTCGCGCTTGTGCAGGGTCACCTGGAAGCTGTCCTCCCGCGCGGAGCCCGCCGCGTCCGCGTGGCCGTGCGTGCGGCCGCCGAACCGCCGCTCCCGCAGCACCGTCAGGTGCAGCACCGAGCACGGCTGCGACAGCACGGCTCGGGCGTGGTTGTGCGACACGTTGCTTATGTCAAAGCTATTGACCTGCAAAACAACGGCAAAAAAAGAGTCACAACCGTGTTTGCAGATGTTAAGTCCCGTCCAAAGTAAGTTCATGCGCTGCAAAACCAGCCTTGGAGCAACCTGTATGTCTGAACTTACCATGCTTCCCCTCGTGTCGTTCCATTCTTTCTTGCAAACTCACACTGGATATTCAATCTACAAACTTATTTTTATGCTGGAAAAGATCCTCAACATCATCAAGTCCTAGTGTTAACCCAGCACTGCTACCTCCATCACTGAACCGCGTTTCCAAATTCTACATCTACCTGTCTTTTAAACAGCACCAGGGATGGTGACTCCACCACTTCCCTAGGCACCCTATCCCAATTCTTGACAA